CCGATTTTAAAATCGGACTGTACTGTATAACAATTCTCCTTGTTTAGTTAGTTGTCCAACCTGCTTCGCTTGGGATTTCAGATTAGATTGTGTTTAAAAGGTGAAATTGGTTACAATTGTATGTATAACAAATCGTTATTGATCAATTAACAGTACACAATAGTTGTATTATCTGTCAATATCAGATAAAGAAATCTGTATTATTCTTTGTGATTTTAGCATCCTTACCCATCTGAAGACCAGAAGAAACAACTGGCTCAGGATACTGGATTGACAATTCTGCAGGTTAATAACTGGTAAGTACATGGAATTTAGGTGTAGAATTATTGTTTTGTGAAATCAAATCCCGAGAACTGAAAACGTCTTCGTTAATTTAAAACAACGGATTTACCAATTTGCCGATGATTTAATGATATTTGCTAATAGCTCCCCAGTAGCACAGCGGCAAGTCGGAAGACTTATAACGCTGAAAACCGGGTTTCGATACTCTTGTTTGGCACAGCACAGTAGCCCTTTATGTAACTTTGCGCTTAACAACAAACAAACTAGTTTTGATATGATTTCTTAAAAATCAGAAACACGTTTCTGACATTCATGTTGTCCGAATAATAATATCTCGTGTGTCATATTTTGTGTTTCAATAATAAAAAAATTAAAAAAAACAGCTGAAAAATATGTGAAAATGTTTATACTAATGATGCTATTCTGTTATTATAACTTGAGATTGAATGTTTATTTATTATTTTATATAGTCGTGGCCGTTAAAAATTGAATTATATATTTACATGTTTCCAAGATATTACCTTAAATTTTATTTGTTTTGGAACGTGTAACTGCTTGATAGGAAGGTTAATCATGCGACATCTTGATATATTCATATTTCCTTCATCAGAGATGTGGCGTAGATAAAGGTTAAAAAAGCGTCTTCTTCATTAAAGCAATACCTTGATGTTCAGTAGAGGAAGGTTAATCATAGCGATACTATGGGAGATCCATGTTTCGTTCGTAAGAACAATATTGTAAAGTCCTACGTACAGGAAGATTAATCATAGCGATACTATGGGAGATTCATGTTTCGTTCGTAAGAACAATATTGTAAAGTCCTACGTACAGGAAGATTAATCATAGCGATACTGTGGGAGATTCATGTTTCGTTCGTAAGAACAATATTGTGAAGTCCTACGTACAGGAAGATTAATCATAGCGATACGATGGGAGATTCATGTTTCTTTCGTAAGAACAATATTGTAAAGTCCTACGTACAGGAAGATTAATCATAGCGATACTATGGGAGATTCATGTTTCGTTCGGGCCTGGCATGGCCTAGTTGTTAGGGCGCTCGACTCGCAATCTGCGGGTCGCGGGTTCGAATCCCAGTCACACCAACCATGCTCGCAGTTTCAGCCGTGGGGGCGTTATAATGTGACGGTCAATCCAACTATT